GGGGGGGAGAATAAGAAATTGTCTCCCTTCTGAACACTCCAGCCCACACAGTGTTTGGTGTATGGAATCCCTTCATCACCATGTTATTTGAGACAAGTTAGGTATTTGCAGACAGAAAAGAAAAATAACCTCTCTTTCCACTATTTCTCTCTCCAGTCTAATTACCGGATTAAGAAACTGGATCTCAGTCACAACCAGCTCTCTGATAAGGGAGGGGAGCAATTAGGACAGATGCTGGGTAAATCTCCCCCAGGGGCATGGGACCAGGGATGGGGAGCACTCAGGGAGGGCCCTGACTTAGAAGTGGCTGCTGCTTTTCCTTCCTTTATCATTGACTAACTATTCAGATCATAAAAGTGCTGAGCACCAAACCAAAATCCACTCTCCGTGGTTTCAGCACCTTGAACTCTGGAGTAGAAGAACATACAGAGAAATAACTGGGAGTAACTCAGGAAGGCTAAAGATTATGGAATACAGCACAGAAATCAAAGCCCCATTGTCACTGTGTAGATGCCAGCTCCTGGTTACCCTGTGTGCAACAGATAGAACTGGGACAAAGATTTCCACTTTCCTGGCAGCCCCTTTCTGATGAAGCAAATGGTGAAGTGCTTGACTACTAGCCCAAACGTTGGTGGTTCAAGCCCTTCCAGAGGCATTTCAGAAGACAGTTCTAGTGATGTCCTTTACACAGTTCTGCTCAGTGTGAATGGGGTTGTCATGAATTGTTGTTGTTGTTGTCATCATGGTTGGGTGCCATCCAGTTAGTTGACTGTGACTCACAGTGACCCGTGAATGACGGCTCTGCCCCCTGCCCTGCTGTGTGCCGTTCCCGTCATCCCTGACATACTCGACAAAGGGAGATGTGATCAGTACACAAGGCACTGGAAATAAAATAACATTCCAAGAGCATGTATGTTAAAATGGTGAGATAAGATAAACAGGATACATTTTTCCAGAGCCTGAGGCCCAAAGGCAAGCTTTTCCCTTCAGCAGGATTCAGGGGTGCCCTCACCTCTCCTTCCAGTGGGATCCCCAGCTGCACCGCTTCCCCACAAATAAAAAAAACCAACCCAGTGATAATGTGCTTTAAATCTGATGCTTTCCCAAGCTCATGGAACAATTAAAGAAAAGCATCTTAACTTTTATAAAAGGTGTGATTTCTATGCAAGCAGTTTTGATGAGCTCTCCTCATACAGTCAATCATGGTCAGAAATTCTGGAGCCACATGATGTCATGCCCATCAATGTGAGTTGTATGTTTTTGCTATGTTATCTTTATTTATTTTAAAAGTGGCATTTTAGCTCACCAAGTGGGTATTTATGATACACTTAGTCTTCCAACCACTTACCTCTTCAATCCAGTGAATTCTAAGCCATGGCAAACCCATATGTGTTAGTACAACAGAACCTCAGTGGGTTTTCAGTGACTGACTTTATGGAAGTGGATCAGCAGGCCTTTCTTCCGAGGCATCTCTGGCTAGACTAAAAGCTCTGTCTGGAGTTAGGCTTCGCACATTTGTACGCTGACACACCTGGGATTGTCATATGTCAGAGTTGACTAACGGCAACTAGAGATACAAGCAAACACACCCCTTCCTCTGGAATTCACAAATATTCCTTTTATTAGGATGTCAGTCTAGAGACTAAAGTGTACCTGATCCAGACCATGGTCTTCAATTATTTGCTATGCATTAGAGAACTGAATTTACAACAGAAGAATTGATGCCTTTGATTTGTGATGCTGGAGAAGAGTACTGAACATACCATGGACTGAGAACAAGAGAACAAACATGTTCATCCTAGAGAGGGTGAAACCAAGCTGCTCCTTGGATGCAAGGATTTTGAAGCTCCATCTCTCATAATTTGGGCATGTTGCCCAGAAGGACCAGACCTTGGAGAAGGACATCATACTTGGAAGGTTGGCGTGTCAGTGCAGGAGAGGAAGACCTTGGATGAGATAGACTGACACAGTGACTGGGATAATAAGGGCAGGTGTGTTGGAGACAAATGAGAATGGCTCAGGATAAAGGAGTGTTCAGAGTTATTGTTCATAGGGTTATTGTTCATGTGTTGTAGTCTATCAACAGCACTTAACAACAACAACTTTTATAAGTGATGCATGATAAAGACCATAAAAGCATGTAATTCCTCCCAAGTTCACCACTGCGTCCTTTAAGTGGTCTCAGAGGTACATTCTGGTGTGATAGGGTACACACATTTTAATGAGAAAATAGATATCTGTGACCAGATAATAATCGCCAAACAGATTCTGCCAACTTACCTGTCACCAGGAATACCGTTACCAGCCACCAACTCATAGAGACTCTGTCGGTGGCACAGCCACACCCTGGCCCATCCGGCACCTTCCCCAGTCTTTGCTATGTTCGAGCTCCTTGCTGCACTCTTTGTCAGGTTGGGGATCACTGTTCCTACTGTGTCTAAACGAATAACTGAAAGAACATAGAGTACCTGACTATGCTACTTTGTATGGCCATTGGACATTCCTTGTCTCCAACTTCACGTCTTCTCTGGAATGTAGAAATGCTGAGATGCCTCCCCTTCCTTCCAGCTCTCAACGTAGGGCTCCAGGTCCTGAATCTGAGCTGGAATCAAATCCACACAGCAGGAGCTCTGGCCTTGTGCAATGGACTCCGGGTAAGCGGCTCCCTGCTGGGAGTGTGGCTGGCCAGGGTACCCCTGTCCCACCATCTAGAATCTACTCCTCACGGTCACCCCTGATAAAGGCATACGGAGCTCTCATCCGTTACTTCCCATGTTGTTATTCTCCTTTCGACAATTCCTGAAGTTACAGTTGGTCAATTCAGCCTGCTAGGACCTGGGGAGCATGATTAAGAACAACTCAAGAGGGCAGTTTAATGTGGACATAAGGAAAGACCATCTGCAAAGGCAGTCCTTGTACTTGGAGCCCGAAGGTCAGCTGGGAGGGTTCTGGGTAGATGTGACCAACCCGCCTCTCCTGAGGACCAACCAGCAGGAGCCCAGTCTGGACTCCAGCTGGGGACAGAAAGCAGGGAAGAGTGGGCGGAGGAGCCCGATGCAACACTGATACTAGTGCTGTTCTCCCCTCTTCTCTGGAGGCGAACGTGACCCTGAAGATACTGGATCTCTCCATGAATGGATTTGGCAATGAAGGGGCTCAGGCCCTAGGGGAGATCATCAAGTTCAACAACTCCCTGATCAACCTGGATCTCAGCTGTAATGGCATCACCAACGACGGCATCAGCAAGATCAGCAAGGGTCTGGAGCTCAACGAAAGCCTCCAGGTCCTGAAGGTATGGTCTTTACCTAAGCTGGAGCAGGTCACCGTGTGCACGTGTATCTGTGTGTGTCCTGAAGGTATGGTCTTTACCTAAGCTGGAGCGGGTCACCGTGTGCACGTGTATCTGTGTGTGTCCTGAAGGTATGGTCTTTACCTAAGCTGGAGCGGGTCACCGTGTGCACGTGTATCTGTGTGTGTGCATGCATGTCTGTGCACGTGTGTGTATTTGTGTGTGTGCGCATGGGAGTGGAGGCAGCAGGCTGACGGGGATGGGTATTAAAGAGAGAATTCTTAGCAAAATCTTTCTCATCCTTTTTTAAAGTCTACATTATTTTTTTAAAAAAAAGTTCTTTTCTATTGGTTCATATACATTGTGTTTCACACTATCCCTCATTCACATTGTGTTCCATACAATCATTCCCATTCATTGTGTTTTATAAAATTAATCACCATTGACCCATGTCCACCATTACCCCGTCTTTCCAGATCAATGCCAGATCTTTCCCATTTTCTAAACCGCTGCTTCCACCCACCAATTGAGCAACTATGTCTTGGTTCTTCAAATTCAACATCATCGTCCCAGTCTTCCTTCCACCCATGTGGACCATCCCCAGCCTTTCCCCCACCTTATATCCATGATGCTCTTTGTGAACACAAATCTGACCCTGCATTGCCCCCATCTTCCACCTTAACACCTTCCAACGCCTTCTTGTTGCACAAAATCATTTCTCTAATATCTGCCAGCTTCTCTAGCCTCAGTTTACCCCTTAATCTCCCTGTTCTCCACGCCAAGGCCCCACTGGTCTTCATTCATCCCCTTCTCCCTACCGAGAGGTCTTTGTTCCGCAGGCCCCTCAGTCTGGCATGCTTTCTCTCCACACACCCTCCACCAGCTGCAATGACAACTCTGCTTCAGAGTGAGCTCCGGCAGCCTTTCCTCAGGATCCATTCAGTTACCTGCTGGTAAAGCCACAATCAACCTCCTGCATGCAGAATTCGCTGTGCTTTCTAATGACAACCTCATCCGAATGATTATCATGTCTGCCACTGCAAAAGGGAAAGATTTACAAGAAGAAAGAGTGAGGTTGGGTTTGCCCAGTACTATACCACCGGCACCTGCATAGTGCTGCACAGATAGGAGATGCCCAGTGCATAGTCATTAAGTGCACGTAAAGTGTCTGTTTCATTGGAAATGAATGTGTTTACAGATGTTAATGTATGAGAGAGAAGTTCTGGATAGGTGGAAACAAAAGATGGGCCTTCGGTTAACAATTTCCCTTTCTGGAGCTTCTACTACAAGAAGAATGGAAACCCCAGAATACTTAACTGTATTCGTGCAAAACCTATACCTAGACGAAGTGGCTATTTTGCAAATAGAGTGAGGGAACACTACGAGGTTTAAAATTAAGAAACTTTTTCATCAAGGTTGTATCTTTTCTCCATACCTATTTAACCTGTATGCTGAGCAAATTATTCAAGAAGCTGGACTCTATGAAGAAGAATTTGGCATCAGGATTGGATTAATCAATAATCTTTGTTATACTGATGACACAGCCTTGCTTGCTGAAAGTTGTTTTTTTTTGTTGTTGTTGTTGTTGTTAGGTGCCATTAAGTTGAGTATGACTCATAGTGACCCTATGAACAAAAGATCTGAACCCTGTTCTATCCTGCACCATCCTCACACTTTCTGACACACAAGATCCCATTGTAGCAGTCACTGTGTCAATCCACCTGATTGAGGGTCTTTCCTTTGCCGACCCTCCATCCTTCCCAACATCATGTCCCTCTCCAAGGAACAGTCCCTTCTAGCAACATGTCCAAAGAATGTGAGACGAAGCCTCATCATTCTTGCCTCCAAAGAACGCTCCGTCTGCAGCCTCTCCAAGACATATCTGTTTGTTCTCTTGGCTGTCCATGGGATATTCAACACTCTTCTCCAACACCACAGCTCAAAGGCATCAATTCTTTTCCTGTCATCCTTATTCATTGTCCAGGTCTCAGATGCATAGCTAGTAATTGGAAAGACCATGGCCTGAATCAGATGCACCTTAGTCTTCAACTGATATCACTACTACTCAACACTTTGGAAAGTTTCCTAACTGCAGATTTTCCCAGTACAATGTATCTCCTTATTTCCTGACTGCTTGTACCAAGGGTGAAAATTGTGGATCCAAGCAAGATGAAGCTGTTGACAGTTTCAATCTCCTCTCCATCCATCATAATGCTGACTTGCTGCAGAAGGTTAAACACTGCAGCTTTTAATATTAATTGTATCATCAAGAAAACAAAAATCTTTACCACTGGACCAATAAGCAACATCATGATAAATGGAAAAATGATTAAAACTGTTGATTACTTCATCTTACTTGAACTCACAATCAATACACTTGGTACCAGCAGTCAGGAGAACAGCAGATATATTGCACTTGAAAAGTCTGGAGTCAGCGACCACTCCAAAATATTGAAGAGCAATGGTGTCAGTTTGAGGGCTAAGGTGTGCCTACTTCAGACCATGTTCTTTTCAGTCCTTTGCTGTGTATCTGAGACCTGGTCAATGAGTAATGATAACAGAAGAAGAATTAATGCCGTTGGTGTTGGAGAAGAGTACTGAATATCCCATGGACTACCAAAAGAAGAAACAGAAATGGCTTGGAGAAGGTGCAGCCAATGTGCTCCTTGGAGACAAAAATGACAAAGCTTAATCTCACATACTTTGGGTATGTTGCTAGGAGAGGCTATTCCTTAGAGAGGGACATCATGCTTGGAAAGGTGGAGGGACGGTGAAGGAGAAGAAGACCCTTAACCAGGTGGATTGACACAGTTCTGCACCAATGGACTTGAGGGTGTCAGAGATTGTGAGGATGGCACAGGATAGGGCAGGGTTCAGATCTGGTGTTCACAGGGTCACTATGAGTTGTACTTGATGCAATGGCACCTAACAAGAAGAAGAAGAAGAAGAAGCCAGGTGATTTATATAATTATTCATTGTCCAAACCTACAGAGTGGACTCTATTAGCTCCATTTGTCAGATGAGAACACTGAGGCTCTGTGACTTGCTCATTATCCAAAAGTAGAGCATTCCTATGAAACCTTTCTAAAGCTGAGATGGCACAAAGTGAAGAAGCAACTGCTTTCAATTCGTATGGGGGGAAAATTTCGAATTCTCCCACAGCCCCAGAAATAACTTACTGAACTATAACAACATATAAAACCTAAAATAGTGTCATTTTAGATCAAGATTCAAGGTCATTGCCACTGAGTTGGAACTGACTCATGGCTGACCCTCCATAGGTTTTCTGGAGTCTCTAAATCCTACTGGAGGTGTTTGCTTATCTTTCTCCTGTAGAGCCTCTGGTGGTTCAACCAGAGAAATTCCACCTTTGAGCTGATGGCAAAAGAGATCATTTGGTCAAGATACTCACTTGTCATTATTAAAAAAAAAACTGGAGTCTGTTTACTGTTAATTTCTTTGTGGAAGCAGCAGGAGCCTCTCAGCTCATTCGTGTATGGAGATATAACCAAGAACTAAAAGCTAAAACACACAAGTAAAAGAGCTCCTGATCACGTGAACAATTTATGTGAACAGAATCACTGGGACCCAGTTTGTTTCAGTATTTTGGTGTTGGTAACATAATATGAATGATGTTAACATTTGGAAGTAAAAAATAAAGTTTTATGGATAGCTAGTGCTTGATTCAATGAAAAAATTAATTTTAATTTTAAAAAAAAGTATGGCAAGAATCAATGCCTTCGAGTCATGGTGTTGGAGGAGAGTGTGGGTTATCTTATAGACTGCCCAAAGAACAAACCGATCTATTTTGGGAAAAATGCAACCAGGGCACACCTCAGAGGCAAGGAAGACAAAGTTTCCTCTGACGTACTTTGTCTCACATGTCATGAGAATAGTCTATTCCTTGGACAAGGACATTATATTGGAAAGGTGGAGGGCTGGCAAAAGAGATGCATTTGTGTTGGGGCGATAAGGATGGTGCAGGACAGAACAGGTTTCAGCTTGGTTGTTCATAGGGTCGCTATGAATCATATTCAATTTGACAGCATTTAACAACAACACAACCACATTATGTCACAACAATAGTAAAAAATCTATTATCTAACTATTTTGCTCATTAACAGAATATGTCTGGCAACAAGAAATGCTGAGGGACAAGCTAAGAATAACACTACGTCAATTTAGCTGAGTCAGGGTTCTCTGTGGTTTGGCAATTATAGAAAACAAAGATTCTTACCACTGGACCGATAGGCAACATCATGATGGACAGAGAAGAGACTGAAACAGTCAACAACTTCATCTTACTTGGATGCACAATGAATACCCTTGGTACCAGCAGTCAGGAAATAAGAAGATACATTGCACTGGGGAAAGTCTGCAGTTAGGGACCTCTCCAAATTATTGAGGAGCAACAATGTCAATTTGAGGACTAAGGTACATCTGATTCAGGCCGTATTCTTACTGATCACTTGTTATGCATCTCAGAGCTGGACAATGAATACAAATGACAGAAGAATTAATGCCTTTGAACTGTGATGCTGGAGAAGAGTATTGAACATCCCATGGACTGCCAAAGAACAAATAAGTATGTATTATAGAAAGTGCAGCCAGAATGCTCTTTGGAGGCAAGAATGATGAAGCTTCACCTCACATACTTGAGCATGTTGCTATGAGGCTTTATTCCTTGGAGAGGGACATGATGCTGGAAAGGGTGGAGGGTTGGTGAAGAAAGGAAGACCTTTAACCAGGTGGCTTGACATGGTGACTGCTGCAGTGGGCTCTAGTGTGTCAGGAAGTGTGAGCATGGTGCAGGATAGAGCAGGGTTCAGATCTGTTGTTTATAGGATCTCTATGGGTTGTACCTGACTCAACAGCACCTACCACCACCAACAGCAACATCATCAATGATATAATCACCTTCCATTTGTGGATAGAATGTGAGCACCCTTCATGTTCACATAACGACCTGGTCTTTGAAACCTAACCATGCCAATAAATGAGGAGTTGTTATGTGTTGATGAGTTGGAAACAACTCACAGCAGAAGGTTTTTCAGAGGCTGTAAATTGCATTGGAGAAGACTACACATCTTCCCCCTTAGAGCAGCTGGTGGATTTGAACTGCCTGCCTTGGGTTGACAACACAACTCTTTACTCAATAGGCCACCAGAGCTCTGTAAATGAGAAGTAGATATAATACTGTTTCCAGGAAAGGAACTCCGTCAACCCACATCTCACAGCTTGGGTGCACGCTATCTCTTTAATGGGCTCACTGAAGCACAAATGCTAAATACTACTTTTGCTTTTTTGCCTTTTTATGTAAAACAAAACCTCCCAATTTCTTTCGGTTAGCAAAAACAAGGACTAATCTCCATCTGTCATAAAAAGTGCTCTAAAGTGAACTTCTGAAAAGACGGGATACCTGTATTTTAATTTCCTATATATTGTTAGGGATTTTGTTTTCAATGTTTAAGAACTAAATGGGGGGAAAGCTTAAAGAGTTAATGCTTAAGTCCATCACAGCCTGAAGCCACATCAGCTTTGCTGCAGGATTATGCTCTGGCCACAGCCCTTTTTCTAATCTGAGAAAAAAAGGAGTTCTCACTGGGAAGTGAGTGGACAAAGGATTCTAGAAACTCTGCCTCACAAGTTTTTGTCATAGCCTGAGAAGCCCCCGCCACACAGTAGGTGTTCAAGCAGATGGACTCTGATAACGATAACAGCATTCACTGCCCGCCTACTAGGTGCACTCTTGAACGCTTTGAGTTGATTTGTTGCCTTTCCTGAGCATCCCTACATAACAGGCACCAAGTGACGGTAGAAAGAATGCAAGGCCTGGGAGCTAGAGAGCAGAGCAATTGGCATCCCCGTTCCCTGCCAGTCAGTAACCTCTATTCCATGCATCAGTGGCAGCTGCAGCACGAATAGGATTGTATCTTGATCCCTTAGGTAAACCCACAAGGACCTCTGTGATCTGGCCTCAGCTCAGCTCTGTGGCCATCTCTGCTCCCACCCCACAGAATGTTTGCTGTTGCATAAAAGCCTCACGCTGTTTCCATTTTGGCACTGTTGCAATGCTCTCTTCTTCTTGCTGTCAATCCTTTCTTCTTCATGTTATGTGCTGTCAAGTCAACGATGATTCACAGCGACCCTGCATACAAGGGCTCGGAACCTTAACCCATTCTGAGCCACGTGCACCATCTCAGACACCACTGATCCCATTGCCACAGTCACTGTGTCAATCCATCTCACCCAAGTCTTCCTCTCCTGCACTGACCCTCTACCCTTCCAAGCATGATGTCCTTTTCCAAGGACTAGTCCCTCATGACAACATGCCCAAAGTATGAGAGACAGAGTTTCAAAACCATTGCCTCCAAGGAGCAACCTGGTTTCACCCTCTCCAGGACAGATCTGTTTGGTCTCTTGGCAGTCCATGGTAATATGTTCAATATCCTTCTCCAGCATCACAGCTTAAAGGCATGACTCTTCTTGTGCCATCCTTAGTCATTGTTCAGCTCTCAGATTTTAGAAAGTCTGATTCATTCCCCCTGGCAAGGTCAGATGCCACCCAGCCCACCCCAGCTACCTTCTTCAGACCTGACCAATCTCCATTAGTCCTGCGAGGCTGAGCTCAAGTGTCCCCTTCCCAGTGTCCCATGCCCTGTCCCCTGCTTCCACAAGGCCTATGTGTAGGCCATTACTGCTGTTATCACACTTTTACACTTTAGTAGGTTGGCCAGCCTCTCCAACTAGAATCTAAGTTATCTGGGGACAAGATATTGTACCTGTCTGTGTTCCTTAGTGCTTATTTGGTGTTGGGGACAGAGCAGGCCCTGATAATGTGAGCAACTGGCTTTCCATTTAATCATTCATATGTTGTTATTGTTGCTGTTAAGTTGTAAGCGACTCATAGCGACCTTATGAATGAAAGTCCTCAACACTTGTGTGACTTTCATCCTTTCTCCAGGTTCATAGGGTTTCCAGAGGGAAGCTATTATACAAGTGGGTGTGCCACTCCTGCTTCCACGCTTGCTTTAATCAGGGAGCTCCACCAAACACTGTCCACCATTGATGACCTTTATCACATTTGACACATCAGTGTCACAGTGTTCAGCTTCACAGCCACCACAAGTTACCTCTATACAGCAAGTGGACACACCAGGGCTATACGAATTTATTTTATGGCATTAATTACAGTCCCTACATTATAATCACAAAGGAGGAGGAACAGCTGTAAGAAGAAACTAGTGATTTATATGTGAAATGTGAGAATAGTGAGACTGGCTCAGGACAGGGCAGGGTTCAGAGCTGCTGTACCTAAGGGCCGCTATGGGTCACAGGCAACTCGATGGCACACGACAACCACAACATTGTAATAGCACTCTTCCTGCTTCCTCCCTATGATTCTCCTTTCCATTCATCCTTCTATCTCGTCCCATCCTGCCTTCTGAGCCTGGACAAAAGCCACCCAGGCATTTGATCTATCGTATCTATTGGATGATTGATTATTCTAAGAAGTGGGCATTACTATTCACTTTAGAGCATGTCTGTTTGGCTGAAAGCTGAGCTGTAGGGGTAAGTTTAGTCCTAGGCTGGATGGGGTACTGAGGCCCATACTTTTGAGGGTTCTATCAGTCTCTACTAGACCAGCAAGTGTGCCCCCACCCCGGTTAATGTTTGCTGGCACGAGGATGAGCAGTGAGATCGACAGGTGGATGAATGAATGAGTGAGCGGGAACAGGCGGTTACAGAGAAGCAGAAGAGGAAGACAGCGTGAAAGATGGGGGAAAGTGGGGCCACGGTCTGAGCCAGCCTCTCTCGCCTCTGTCTCAGCTTCCTCCCTCCTTCCACAGCTTTTTCTCAACCCGATGAACGTGGATGGGGCTGTTTTACTTATCACGGCCATCAAGAGGAACCTCAGATCCAAGATGGAGGAACTGGACATTTCCGTAAGTGACCAAGTGAGGTTGCTCACATCAGAAGGTGAGGTGGCTGCGTACGAGCACCCCTGGCCTCCTAGGTCTGCACTCAGACGTCCGCAGGAGTCACTGCTTCTGGTAACACGCGGCCCTCCCCACATCACCTTGCAGTCAGCGTAGTCACCCAGTTACTAACGTAACAACATGAAATAATTTCTCAGATCCCAGGTTCCCAAGACATGGCACCCTCCTGAGGGAGGGCTGAAGAGAGAGAGAAGGAAGCACCAGCAGGAAGGCAGGAGGACCCCAAATAAAATTCATCCCTAGTCAGCTTTTCTGATGGGTGACCTTGGATCCTACAGTCGTCCTGAATCACCAGGTTTTAGAGTTTGGGTGTTAATGCTTCTACATTCTCATATATTCATAACTTAGAGTCAAATTTGAAGGTGAAAATGTCTTAATAAAAGTGTAAAGCCCAGTGAGGTAACCCGACTCTTGCTGAACACTCTCGCCTCGGTGGACTTGGACAGCCCAGAGGGGGTAGAGGTGGTTGCTGGTATTAACAGTATCCCATGCTGCAATCTCAAAGGTGCATGGTTCGAATCCACCAACTGTTCCTCAGGAGAAGGATGCTCGCTTCCTCCTGTGCAATTTACTGCCTCTGAAAACCCGCTGGAGGGTCAGTTATGGGTTGATTCTGACTCTCCAGCAAACAACAACAGCTACATACTTAGTCTGCATTTTTATACAATGACCCTGAAGTGATTTCATAAATGCCAGCTCTCTGGTCCTTTGCTGAGAGCTAAATTTAGTACTTTTTCTCATTTCACATACAAAGAAACTGGCACAGAGAGGTTAGGTTACTTGACTGGGACCACACAGCAAGTGAGAATAAACACAGCAAGGACTGTACTCTCAAGTCCTAGAGGACTATAAAGGTAGGGTTAAAACCTCTCCACATTTTTTAACATATACAAAAAAATGTGGTTTTGTTAATATCATTTCAATACCTTGCAAGATCAGGTATTTTGAACACTTAAATTCAAACTCCTCAGAACCGAAGTAAAAGTAGGATTTATATTTGCCACAGATGATAAAACTTTACAAGACAATTCCTGGTTTTCTTTTGTGCTTTTTCCTTCACGTGCTCCTCCTTGTTCTGGGATTTTCTGTAAGCTCCTCGGCCTCTGAGACCCTCCCTCCACTCTACTTGTGACTTTGCACCCCAGGATCCCACCTTGCCCCCTCCTCCACCTGCCTCGGAATCTCAGCCACACAGATGCAGAATTGGACAGCATTTGTTTCTTTATCCCAAGAGCAGGCTGAGAAGCACTTATGCAGGCAATGGCTTGGTGTCTGCGGGGAATGTAGAAATGGTGCTGTTTCAACACTAGATGGCACATAATCCCTGCGCTGTGATCACACGGCCGCATGACAAGCTGACAGTAGAGTGGCCTGTGTTAGCCTTCCTTCCCTTTGTCGACGATGCTGCCATAACTTTAAAAGGTGTAGAGATGCCTCCATAGTAGATGCTTCTAGAACATTCTTCAGCATACTTAGAAAGAGATTAGGTCTTCAGCCTGTAAAGCTTGGGCTTGATTCTTTTGAAAAGTCAAAAGTTACCCAGAACCACTCTAAGGAATAAGTCTGATGATCAAGCTGATTGACTCAGGTCTGGTCAAACTCCCACAGGACACTCCTCCCCCGTGGCCTGTGAGCCAGCTCCCAAATGGGGGTTCTGGGTTCACATTGAACCAGGACAGGGGTTTTGGGGGAGTGAGGTCACCTTCTCAGAGCACCTGCTCAGAACCACATTCACGTAGCTCTGGACATTTCAGGATATTTAAAGAGCAATTACAAATCTACAGCTGTACAGATGAGGATCTGTCACATATAGACACATATGGTCACCATCTGAGAGCCAAGCTGGGCTCATAGTGTGTCACAAGCCACCAGCACATCACGAAAACCTCAGGTCCAAATCACAAAAGAAACTGACAAGTTGACGTATAAACAAAAGTCTAGGAGGGGGGAAAAAGATTCTAGGAGTAGCACCATAGAACAGTCTGGAAAAGACAAAACCTCGACTTTGATTGGGTGGACAGGTATAGCCCTGGTCAAGATGGTACCATGGCAGGGCCCTGCCCATGACTGGTCTCTCTCCCTCCCCACCACAGAACGTACTGGTGTCTGAGCAGTTTGTGAAAACACTGGATGGGGTGTGTGCCATCCACCCCCAGCTGGACGTGGTCTACAAGTCAGTGCAAGGCCTATCCATCAAGGCAGCCATCGCCATGAACCCCAATCCCATGAAACTGATTAAGGTGAGCTCTTGCCTTCCTCTCTGGAGGAAGTCCCTGGAGAAAGCTGGCCTTTGACACCATTCAGTCACCTCCCCAAGTGTCTGCAATATCCACTGTGACAAGGGTTGGACTGTGGACACGGACTATTCCCCGCAGACATCCTAGGTCTCTATGTTGCTTCTCCATTCCCTCAGGAAGGGAGAGTGGGAGGGTCTGGAACAGAACACACTGCTTGCAAGACCCATCCCACTCCAGCCTCTAGAAACAAGGACACTTGGGAAGTGTCCACACTCAGTCTCCCAGTTGCTCAGCTGTAAGGGCAGATTCTACCATCCAGGCGGTAAAGATCTGCTAAATGCATGCCCAAAAGGGCTCTGTGCCTCAACTTCTTCACCTGTAAAATGGGGAGAATGGTAGCACCCAGCACAACAGGTCTGCAGGTTTCCTGTGAGGACAGCATTATGAGATACACCTGTGAGTCAAACTATGCCCTCGGTCTATAATTCCTGTTAGACGTTGTGTGTCATTGACTCAATTCTGATTCAGAGCAACTGCTTCATTGTGCTTCCTAAGCTGTAACATTTCTTATTGAGATTTTAATGAAAGTTTATAGAGAACTTGGATTTCCATTCATTCTTTGTTGCACATTTTCCTCCCTGTCCCCTCCCCCTCGGTAATATATTTTTTTAAGGTCAAGAAATGTTTTACTGTGATTTCAGTGAAAGTTTACAAAGCAAATTGGTTTGTCAATCAACCATTCACACATATTTTGTTTCACAACATGAACTGTAACTCCCATAGTGTAATCACATTCTTCTTCTTTCCTCCCTGTGAGTCTCATTTCCACTCATCCTTCTACCCTACCCTAGTCTGTCTTCTGGGATTTCTCCTTGAACAAACACTGCTCTTTTGACCACAGATGATTGATTATTCTGAGGAGTGCATGCCTCCCTGGTGGTACTGTTCACCTTATAGGTCTGTCGACATTGTTGGGCTGAAAGTTGATGGTTGTAAACTGCAATCTTTATGAAAGCAGGTCACCGGGTCTTTCTCCTGATGAGTTCAAAGAGCCAACCTTTAGGGTAAACAGCTTTGCGATGGGAAAGTCTGTGGTTAGGGACCTCTCCAAAATACTCAAGAGCAACAGTGTCTCTCTGGAGACTTAAGGTCCGCCTGATACAGGCCATGGTTTTTGCAATCACTTGTTAGCATCAGAGAGTTGGACAATGACTAGGGAGGATAGAAAGAGAATTGACGCCTTTGAGCTGTGGTGCTGGAGAAGAGTACTGAATGTACCATGGACTGCCAAGAAAACAAACAGATTCATGGTAGAGAGGATTAAACCAGGCTGCTCCTTGGAGGCAAGGATTCTGGGGCTTCGTCTGACATACCTTGGACATGTTGTAAGGAGAGACAGGTCTTTAGAGAGGGACATCATGCTGGGTAGAGTAGAGGGACAGCGCAGGAGGGGAAGACCCTCTATGAGGTGGATTGATTCAGTGACTGGGGTACTCGGGATGGGTGTGTCAGAGGCAATGAGATTGGCACAGGATAGAGCAGGGTTTAGGGCTGTTGTACGTGGGGTCGCTATGAGTAGCAAACGACTCGACGGCACATAACAACAACAACAACAACAACAACAACTTAACTATCGCACCACCAGAGCTCATAAGAAGCACCTAATAAAGTTGGCTCTTTCGACAGCGGGTAAGGATGCCTGGATATACCTCTGTCATCAGGACAGGTATTCAGTGGTTTCTGCTACACGGGGACGTTTGAATCCTTTATTTAGGACATCACATGGACATGGGTGGACTCTTATTAGGCTGTCTCTGGCAATCACAGGAAGCGGATAGGAGTGGATACAATGCTCAGAGCTGGAAGGCTCTTAGAGCTCATATCATGCTATCACCACACAGCAAAGCTCCTACACCCAGGTCTGGGGATTCCCACCACTGCCTTCTCTCTAGGGCCAGAGGAGAGACAGCCTCAGCCTTGTGGACCAAGAACAGAGATGCTGCTGTGAAATGCAGCTTCAGCTGGGTCTGGATGCCTGAGTTTTCTCCCTGCTCCTACCTGGTCTGCCCTGTGCCTCAGGTTCCAAGACCAAAGCGAGGTGGTTTTGTATGTGTGTGTTAATTTCTAGAAGGCAAAGGAAGGAATATCAGGCATTTTAACCTCAACTGGAATCAAGAGGGGAAAACTGGGTTGCAAAACATCCAAAATGGTTTGCCAAATTGGCTGCTGCGTCTGTCATACTCAGGAGAGTGCACAAGCAGGAACCGTCCACCCTCAGGGCTCCCCACGCCTATCTCCCTCAGTTAACGCTCCCAGAGCCTGACCCATATGTCTCACACACTGCTTTCAAGACCCACCCCACTCCAGCCTCTAGAAACAAGGAAACTCAGGAAGCGTCTGCACACGGTCTCCCAGTTGCTCTGCTGTGAACTGGAGAGGGATGGAGGGCTCCCCCACAGCACCCATTGTAGCATCCAGGACAGTTGCTGAGTGAGGTTCACTTTGGGGGGCGGTACCAGTGTGATGTCACCATGGATGGGCTCAAGAGCTGGTGAGCATGAGAAACCAGATGCGTAGGTCTGGGAGGTCATTCCAGAAAGATGAGGAGCAAATGCTCCTGGAAGGCAGGGGTGGGGAACAAAAACAGGGGACCAGAGGCTCTCCTGGAGATCCTGTCTGAGTAGAGAATCTGCAAGGAGCTTTAGGGGCCCAAGGGTTTAAGGCTTCAGCTGCTAACCAGAAGGTCAGTAATTAGAACCCCCTAGTGGCTCCGTGCGAGAAAGTCCTGGGAGAAAATCTGTTCCTTTAAAGGTGATTGTTATTGATGTTATGTGGAATCAACTATAACTCATAGCAATCCTATGGACAAGAGAACCAAACCTTACCCTTTCCTGAACACAATCTCTGTCATACTGGAGCGCACTGTCACATTCACTGTGTCAATCTGTCTTATTTTTTAAAAAAAAATTATATATATATATTTTAGAACCACAAGATAAAGGTAAACAACCCAATTGAAAAATGGGCACAGAAGATGAACAGACACTTCACCAAAGAAGACATTCAGATGGCCAACAAGCACATGAAGAAATGTTCAAAATCCCTAGCTCTAAGAGAGATGCAAATCAAAACAACTATGAGATATCATCTCACCCCAGTCAGAATAGCAACATTTAACAGAACAGCAAGCAGCAAATGCTGGCGAGGTTGTGGAGAAACTGGAACCCTTATTCACTGTTGGTGAGAGTGTAAAATGGTGCAACGACTGTGGAAGGCTGTATGGCGAAGGCTGTATGGCGTTTTCTAAAAAAGATGCAAATAGAAATACCATTTGACCCAGCAATTCCACTACTGGGAATATACCCCAAAGAGACCATAATTGCCACCCAAGCAGATGCACACCCATGTTTATTGCTGCTTTGTTCACAATAGCAAAGAGTTAGAAACAACCCAAATGCCACTCAACAAATGAATGGATAGAGAAGCCCTGGTACATTCACACAATGGAATACTATGCTGCACTGAAAAACAAGGAACTCACGCAATATTATTCAAAATGGGTGACTCTGGAGGACATTATGCTGAGTGAAATATCTTGGTCACAAAGTGGCAAATGCTGCATAATGCCACTGTTGTAAAGTGGGACTGACATTGGGGTTGGGGGAAAAAGAATTGGGGGATAAATAATGTATACTGCATTGAAACAGATGAGGGAGGGAACTGTTTAAAAGGGATATGTGATTAGGTATTATTGCCATGACAGGAGTCCAGAATGAAGGCTGCTTAGTGGAGTGGACTTGAGAGGAGGGATTGTATAACAATGAAAAAATTTTATTTTTCTTTTACTTTTCAAAGAGAAGAGAGAATGGGGCGAGGGGGAGGAGTGAGCAGTGAGAAAATGGCAACAGTGAATTACTGGAACTCCAGTCTCTGTAAACTTTCATTAAAATTAATTTTATAAAAGGAAAAATATTTTTATCTTTCTCTGATTCATTGACAAAGTTTAAATACATTGTTTTTCATGTGTCAGTCTGTCTTGTTGAGGGTCTTCCTCTCTTTCTCTGACTCTCACTTTCCCAGCATGATGTCCTTTTCCAAGGGCTGGCCCTTTCTGACAACATGTCCAAAGTGTGTGAGACGCAATCTCACCATCCTTGCCTCGAAGGATCACCCCGGTTACACCTTCCTCTGAGGCACACTTGTTTGTTCTCTTGGAAGTCCAGTACTCTTCGCCAGCACCAGGATAGGAAGCCGTTAAGAGGCAGATCTAGTTCATTCTGCAGAATCACAGGGAGCCTGGTCACCCTTGGGCAGACGGGTGGCAGAGGGTTGCTAGAGTTGTCATAAGATCAAGTGTTCACTCCTGGGATTTCCTCCTTCTCTCAGACTTACGTGAATCAGCAAAAGATCACAGTCTCGGATTTCTTCAGGAGCTTGAACCCTGCTGGCACAACGGAGATGCCTGTGGGGGCATTCCGGAAAGTGATGATACAGGTCTGTTGAACCCTCGTGCTGTGTGTGAGTCTGGGTGGGTGGGGGAGGGTGGCAGTGCGTGGAATAGGGCCTGACGGCACTGGTCTCTCAAATCCCACCTATCGAGGCCAAGAGGGGAACCTCAGATAGACCTCCTGCCACATCCCAGCTGGGGCATTCTCTGAGCGGGATGGCTTGATGCCACTTATGACCCAAGAAGCTTACCTGAAGACTCACATTCTTCATTTTGGGGGCTTTATGGCTGTTGAGTTTGATTACTGGGAAGATACGAGAGGAGGGAGGCCACATCCTTTTTCCACCCTTGACCCTAGCATCGTGCCAGAAAAATCTCCTGTTCCTCACCTCATATAATGAGTGGCTGATGGTGCCCTGAGGCAAACTTCAGGAGGGCCCTCAGAGCAGCTGGAGGAGGACACTGGGCCCCTGCGAGGGCTTGGACTCAGGAGGGGAAGTGTAGACTGTGTCCCAAGTGAGGCTAGATTGGCATTGGTGCCCAGACCATGGTGAAGAGGGCCAGTGAGGACGAGGGAGAGGGAGGAACAAATTCCATTCGCCACAAGGACGGCTCCTTTCAACCCACTTCACTGATCTGTGATCTTACTGCTCCTCAGAGAAGGTGGACCTTGTGGAGTCTGGGCAGGAGATCCTCCATACGGTGGACTCAGTCTCCATGAAGCCATGATTCATTCTCTCTCTCTCTCTCTCTCCCCCTCTCTCTCTCTCTGTGTGTGTGTGTGTGTGTGTGTGTGTGTGTGTGAAGCACTGCTGAGTAGAGGATCCCATTAACTTGACATTCCACTCTCTCAGCAAAGCAAGGTCCCTATGAACCGGTACCAAGTGAGAGAGCTGATAAAGAGGCTGGATGAGAAGAAGACAGGCGTGGTGAACTTCAGGTCAGATCAGATGCACCGGCCGCTCCTACCCACCTCCCAGCCCTCACAGCCCCTGTGTCTGTATAAGGGCCTGGGGCTGGCTTGGCCTAAGCTCCATACCCCTATGGGGACCAGGCAGCAAGTGGCTGCCTTTTTTCCCCCCCGGCCCCCAGGTCTGGCGCCCAGTGTTCACCCTACTTCTTATCTTCCAGTCACTCATTTAGCAGATCTTAAGAGCCCCAGACGAGTGCAGGCTGCTCAACCAGATATTGCAGGGAGGGCATGACGGGCAGAAGGAAGGGGCTCTCTGCTCAAGGGAGACTTGGAAGCAGATGGTGCAGAGTGAAGACTACACATGATTGTAGCCCAGAGAGGGCCATCAGTTGGGTGGGAGATGATGTGACAGCTGGGGCTGGGAGGACAGACAGACATAGACAAGGACGGATGCCCAGGCAGAAGGCACAAAGAGCAACACCTCGTGAGTGCGGGCCAGCTCAGTGTCACTTCACTGGGAAGTCAGGAGCCGCCGGCTCTGCTGCCTGGATGTGACTTACACCAAGGTCCATGAGGATGTGAGAAAGGTCATGGAAATACCCAGCACCCACGGTGCCCATGGCACACGCCAAGTTCCCTGCTGCTCACTCAACAGGCCCCAGGACCTGAAGTCCAAAGCATCCACCGAGAACATTTTATAAATGACAGCGTGGAGCCTCGAGACTGGAAAGGTCCACATGGCCACGGCCCATCTTCACAGCCTCGCTGCCAGACCTCTTCACCGCCACCAGCTGCCTCCCATCCAAGCACGGCCCGGGGCTCCCGCTGGATCCCTGTGGCTTAGGAACTCTACTGGGTGGAGATCCCAACTGGGCTGCTCCACAGCTCCGTGTCTTCGTCCTCCGCCTCACTGTGTGTCTTCCATGTGGAGAAAGTGCAGAGGGGCCCATGTCCAAACTCTGCCCTGCTGCGCAGGAGTGTGGCTGGGGGCGTCATACTCTCAATCTCTGAGCCTCAATGCCCTGCAATTAATGTGGGGTGACAACCACATATCTCAAGAAGGTTATTAAAGGGTTAGTGACTAGCATTGGTAATATCACTCAGGAGTGACACTATCAGCAGACAAGGGGGGTGCTGGAGGAGCACTGAGATCTCAAAGTGCCTCCCACTCTTGTGGACCACTCTTTCCAGCATCTCCTGCCAGCTCCCCTAAAGTGGTGCCTGTTAACTTTGGCGGATGGGGCAAGGTGCCAGAACGGGAGATGTGAGGCTAAATTCCCAGGCTAGTTCCTGGAGCAGATTTGCAGGTGAGGCCATGTGACCCTCAAAGAGAACCGGAGCTGGGGGTCCCCAAATCTCAGACCTGAAGGGAGGCTTTTGGGGTCCCTCAGATTTCCCCACAGGATCACACACTACTTATCATCTTGTTATTTTTGATTGAAAAGCAAAGATATCATTTGAAGGGTTGACTCAATATTTTTGTTGTTATTAACAACAGCATCTCCTCCTAAAAATTCTAGATCCACAGAAATGTATAGAGCAAGAGAAACCACAGGTCCCCTTTTATCTCGCTCACAGGTCACACCCCGCCCTGGAGTGCTCGCGAGAGTAATTTCAGGAGCTCTTCTCAATAACTTTTTCCCCATGTTGTTATACGTGTTGACAAAGATGAGAAAGAAGGAGTAAAGTGGGGTGTCTAGTGGAAGAACACCTAAATTCCAATCCAGGTTCCACCGCTATTGGAGTCACAGGAAAGGAAATAAATCTCCAGCGCCGCAGTTTCCTCATCTGTATTATGAGCCTGTTGCCACAGGATACTTGAGGCTCCATTGTCATAATTTTTAAGGCTCAAATGAATTACTGCCTACAAATAATTTAGAACAGGCATGCTGTAGGCTCATAGTATAGGTGTGCTTTTATTATCTATGACCACACCCACAATTTATTTCCCCATGCCTTTCTTATCATGCCTTTACTTATCACCATGCCCTTCTGTAACTTGCTTTGCATTAACAGAACATCCGGGCTAGAACACTCAGATCCGTCTCAGTCTTAAGTTGCTGTAAAGCTCTGGTAGCCTAGTGGTAAGGAGCTGCACTGTCATCCCAAAAGCATGTGGTTCAAATCCACCAGCTCCTCTTCAGGAGAAGGATGGGCAATCTCCTCCTGTGCAATTAAACCGCCTCTGAAAACCCACTGTGGGGAGGTTGCTATTGATTGGCTCTGACTTGACAGTACACAACAAATGTTCCAGGGTGAAGCAACCATCTCACACTTTAGTCTCACTGTTTACAGACATTAAAAATATTTCTACAGTTTTCTTTTTGCTTCTACAAATCATGCCACTGTAAACAGCCTTATACACAAGAGAATTTGCATTACATGTGACCATTTCTCTGAAAGAGGCTTAAAACTATAGAGCCAGCATAACTCAATAGTATCATCAAAGTGTTACCATTAATTTTTAAAAGTTAAAACTCTCCAATACAATTTTTTTTAATTTAAAAACTTTTCAATGAAAATTCTCAGTTAAATAATTATTTTAAAACTTTTAAGCAAAAAATTTTTAATTAAAGAAATGTAATTGCTTCCATGAACAAGTAGCTCCTTTGCCTGAAGACCAGAACTGGCTGGTGCCTGGCGGCCTTTATTGAATATGTTGGTAGGAGATTCTGTATCAGAATCCTGATCCAAAGGGGAGACACGCAGAACAAAATTTCAAATTCTCATGGACTCCAGGTTTTCTGGAACCATAAGGGCAGGATGAAACCCTGAAATGTTTGCCCTGAATAAACTTTAGTTTTTAAACCAAAAATATCCCCTGAGTCTTCTTAAAACCAAATATGGAAATCTAACTTGCTGTGTAAACTTGCATGTAATACATGATAAAATTATCTCAAAACACACACTTAAATAATAGTTTCAATAAACTTAAAAATTATATACCTTGAGCACCGGATCTTTTAAAAGCCATCCATATGGAGTCAAAGTGACAGGAGAAAGTGCAAAGATTAGAAAGGGATCTTTGAGGGCTGCGTGTTTATGTAAGAGCTCAGCACAGGACGATGAATACAGTCGTTCCCCACCACGTGTGTAATCGTGTGGCTGAGCTGTCCATGTGGACGTCTTGCTGTGTATATTACTGTGCGTATGTAGACGTGCACGTGGATTGCTGTGTATATGTAGAAATATACGTACATAAATGTTTTGCTGTGTGTATCCTTGATAACAACAATAAAATAAAGATGGAAATATAAAACAATAAAGCTATAAAAATTGCTAGAAGGAAAACTAAACATTTCAATTGCCCTCCATAAAGGCCTAACTAGTTTTCAGTGCCGTCAACAAGGTAAACCAGCAAGCTCCCCAAGCCCTGAGCCTCCCCTGGCGCCTGAGCTATGTGCCATTTGCTGCCACGACCCTAGATGGGTTTGTAGAGGTCTCTCACTTGGATGTGAACTTGGTCTAAGGTTCTGGTCAATCAGTCACGGGGCTGGATTGCAGTTGATTGGTATTTCTCTTACCTTTCAAAACAGTCTTTTGAAAACACCATAGCAACAGGTCTGGTCTGGAAGGAAGTGTCGGCGCGAGAGAAGTCCTGGCACGTCACGTCGGAGGGTAGTAGGGACAAGGCTAAGAGACGGCCAGAACCTCGCTGGACGGCATATGCCAAGGCCAGCGCCGTGAACCGGCAAATGAAGTCTGGCCAGTTGTCCAGGCTGGCGAGTCCTTCTTCGAGAGCACGCACCAGGCGCTGATGGTCACCAGGGGGCGCGCGCCTCCCGCCTGGTGGAGAGGGGCGCAGTGGGGTTGCTAGGAGGCAGGGCAAGGGAAGAGGGGTGCAGGTCAGTGTACAACAGCAGTTGCCATAGTGATTGTAAACCAGGTGGAGAGGAGAGATTCCTGAGACGCAGGGAGCAGATAACTGTGGACACAGGGGCTGGAGACTTCAGAGACGCGGACGCAAAGGGTCACAGAGAGGCACCTTAGCCCAGCAGAGAGCTCAAACTATTGGCACCGCTCTGGGTGTATCCCTCAAGCCAAATATCTCATGAATTGAGTAGAATGTGGCTGGATGTAAAAAAAATTAAACTGAGAAAGGGGCGGGGGGAAAGCAATAGGAAGTCGGTGAGCTGAATCAAATCTTCCTTACATGTCAGGGGGTTGCCAGATGTCCTATCTCCCCGCGTGAACCAAAGTCCCTGAAGGTCAGGGTTCACATTTGTTTAAGTCTGTTTTGAGTCACACAACTGAGCATCCGGTAAGTGTTAGTATCTGGGTGGAATCGTGAGGATTTATGCGTGGGTGGGAAAGGGAAGCTGTGAAGTATCAAGATGTTTTTATTTATCTTTTGCATAAAATGGAAAAGGCATCAATCGTTCTTTAACAAATGTTCTTTTTGTTTGGATGGCCTTGGGTCTATGATGGAAATCATGGAGACACGAAATCCTTCCCCAGCTCTCCAGGTCTCTCCTTGACATCATCACATCTAAGTAAATGAAGGGATGGCCCCAGACCAAGACAGTCTCCAGAGCCTCCCAAAGGGCAAGTGATTTCCACCTGCGGCCGCTAGGTGTCGCACCTGCTCTGCACCACTGCTGACAGCTGTGCTTCCAGCTTTTAGAGACCAAGAGTTTTGAGCCAGTCATGCCAAGGAAGCTTATGCTAGAACAGACCTGAATCTGTAAGTTGTGGATGTACTAGAATGCTAACCACAAAGGGTAAAATGATATATCAAAGCCCTGGACTAGGAGACACGGAAGAAGCCTAACAAGACCCTTCAAATCTTGACAGAGAGAGGTTAGGTTTTCGTCAGGACTGTGGAAAGCAGCACAAGCTTTCAAAGCAGCAAAATCAGTGGTCATCTTCGTGCAGGGCATTATTGTTTCCAACCCTGCTGCTCAAGAGCTTTGATTGTAGAAAATGTTCATGCTGCCTGTTTTCTAAAAGGGAGATGATGTGTCTAGCATGGTGTCAGCCCATATATCATTACCATGTGACCCACATTTTACAAATCTAAGCCTATTTTGGGCTTGAACTGAACAAGGAAGACCAGTATGAAGCCCTGTCCCTCAATGATTTGGATCCTTTGCCAGGAACTTTCTCTGGTTCCCAACCATTGCCCTCCTGTAAGGAATCTGGTATAAAAGTTGATCCCCGAAGAGCAGTGCCCCGGGATACAGGCTCCAAGCAGCCTTGGATCCAGGTAGACCTCTGCTCAACTTCCTCATTGCTGCTGCAGGGCAGGAGGGCTCAGAAAGTGGGCTCCACTCCACCAGCCTGATGATCAAAGATGGCTTAGCAGGCACAAGTCCAGCCTCTGATGAACTCAAGCTGCAGCCTGGGGAACTGGGAAACGGCACCCTGTCCTTAACCTTCCCCTGTGACAAGTCTAGTGTGGCACTAATTCAGCCTCCTATCAGCGACCCTGGGTGGTAAACACTGTCCCTGCAGTTAAGCGCTGGGGAAGTGGAATCCCGGTGAGGCTGGACAACATACCCAGGACCACACAGCTGCTGTTATTGGGTGCTGTCCAATAGATTCTGACTCACAGTGACCCCATGGACAGAGTAGGCCTGGACTTTAGTGTTTTCTCAGCAGTTATCTTTATGGAATCTCCTATGGAGTCTCTGGGTGGATTTGAACCACTGTCCCGTCAATTAACATCCAGGTGTTTAAACTTTGTATCAGGAAGGATTCTTGATCCCACATCTAAGTGGGACTACAGAGATGGAGACTTTGGGATTGTGGTTCTGGCACCCCAAGTTCTTAACCAGCGTGCTGTGCTGGCTCTTTGTGACCCCCAGTGAGATTCACATCAACAAGGAGGAATTTAAATGCACTCGCCCTGTGGCAACCTTTCTGCAGCCGAGAGAGGATGAGTAAGGGAATGAGCAACCCTGTGCTCCAGGCCAGGCTGGACCGGCCAGCCGGAAGGAGGCAAAGGCAGACGTGATAATGGTCTCTTGTGGCTGAAGTCTCAAGGTCAGGTTGATGTGCCCTCCCCACTGCGCCACAGCCCCCACTGCTCCCTGAGGAGACAGGAGAAGAGAAGGAGGTGTGTGGTGTGTCTCCTCATGCCAGAACCAGACGGTGACTCCAGTGAATCGTCATCAACGTCACTCGTGGCGACCCAAGTGTGTCAGGCTAGAACTTGCTCCATTTGTTCAATGGCAGATTGAAATCCTCTCCTTAGGCCCCTCTGGGGAGAGTCAAACTTCCAATCTTTTGGCTAACAGCCAAGCATGTCAGTCATTTGGACCTCCCC